CTCTCTCTCTCTCTCTCTCTCTCTCTCATAATTTTGTTGGTACTGCATCCGGATGAAGAATAGCTCTACTCTTGCTTATATTGTACCACTTTTCTTCAAAATGTAAGTGGCACAATCTATAAATGCGATGGGCATATTCTGCTCCACTTGCTTCTAAATCTAATCTTTCACACGCACGTATCCATTGCAACCATCTATATAAATATTATTATATTGGTTATTGTAAATACAAATAAAATATAGATAAAAAAATAATAGATATATATATCTACACATATACATATATATATGTTATATATATGTTATATATATGTTATGGTATATATATATGTGTTGTATACAGAAATTAAAAAATATTGAATATTCCAAATATACATATGTTAATATATAGCATAATATACAATAAATTCGTATGTGTTTTAGAAAATAAATGAAATAAAAAGTTGTACCTGTCATGTTCCTTTGGAAACCGAAAAAAGTGTCGTTTTTCCACAATATTTTTATTACAGTCCTTTACGACACACCATCCGCTTGATTTTTGAGCACACATTTTTTTCGCCTTTTAAAATCTCTCCAAATATCTGTAACAGAAAGCTAAGATCAAAGTGCTTCAAGAGAATTTGAAATCTGTACTATTTTTGTACAGATAACCTATTCTCCGTAAAGCTAACTCGGTCTACGTTCTCTGTTTTTTTACACTTTCTTAAACACGTCTGAATACACTGAATAATTATTAAAATTAAACACGTATCACTTATTACTTTATCACACGTAGCACTATTCTCACTGTTTCTCACATAAAATTCGTCGCGTTCCCGCCACTTTCCGTCAAATGGTCCTTTAAATGCCTTATATGGACATTTCAATGGGACTGACAGACACCGACAATGGAAAGAAGAAGTGAGATAGAATACAGTGCCCTGATTGGTTACGCGCCTCGGCCGCGCATGCGCACTTCATTTTAGGCTTCACAAAATCAGGAGAGTTGCGCTACTGTATATACTGTGCTTATACATTTAGATGTAATAAGGAAATAAGGGTAAGATCAATCATATTAAAGAATTTTACAACAGTTGCAAAGCTGCTTTCTCTGCTGAACGCAGCCATTGAGTGCGAATGAGAAATGATCATTTCTCTTACTCGCACTCAAACACTACTAATAGCGTTTTTCACTGACAGAGCTAGTGCGCACTTCAGTGTACTTTAATGCCTTTGCACACAAATCGATGTAGAAATATATGTTTAATAAAAATAAAAAAATTTAGTAAAACCGTAAAATCTTTAATATTTTATTGTGTTACACAATAAATTGACAAAATACACAAAGGTATTTTATCAATTGAGATATCTCACTTTAACATCAGATTAGAGTAAAGTAATGTATAACAACTTTAATGTGCACTGAGTACGCACTAGCCTTGCCAGTGAAAAACGCTATAAATTAACGAGCGCTGCGAGTGTCGAGAATCGGAAACTGAACTCGAAACCTAAAATGGTTTCATATTTTGTAGACTGGCGAGACTGAGTGGAGTCTCCTTATATCTTCCTTCATGGTTATAACCGACGCGCGCATGCGCAAACTTTCATTCAATGTGCAATGCCACTGCGCATTGAATGAATAACCGCGGACGTTTTTTGACCTACCCCCACCACGCTAGTTTACTCTCCTGGTTCTAGTCTTCTTGCTTCATGAACAGAGACTGGCCATCAGGCGAGTCCGCCATTTCCTAGCGAAATCCTACAAGTGAGAGAGAAATATAGGCCATTTCACTCACACGAATATGTGCGTTCGTATACGTGTTCGTTTATTCAAGTTGATTTGAGTTGATTCAAGGTTGTGTTCGTGGTTTTTGCTCAGTACAAAATAATAACAATAAAAATGGGTGGTTGAACTGTACAATTCTGGAAAAATTATTTAATATCTGTCTGTAGTCAGGTTACGGCTAAACATGTTTTAAATTATCAATTGTTTCCTAAAATTATTAGAAAGTTTGTCGTATTCAAATTAAGAACATTAAGTAAGAAAAATACTAATATTAATAGACGATATGATAGTAAATCATTGGCAGTACACACCTTTTTTAAATAAATTTTACAAATGTTAGATAAGTGTTTTTACTTTTGTCACTGATTTCCTAACCTTACTTTAATTTTATTTGAAAAAGATTTAATAGTATTAAGAAAGAATATTAAATATAGAAATTATTTAAGGTATAAAAAAAAGAACGAAGATAATATAAGAGTCAATGTTTAAAATTTAATAACAAAGTCAAAAATTAAATCATAAATGTCAAAAGACAGCTATTATAACAAAGTTATTTAAAGATAAAGATTTATATAACTGACGATAAAACTTGACATGTTTTTTTTATTTGACGTATACTACTTATATTGATGTAAAAAGCACGGTTTTAATATTTCTATAATATTTATTATTACATACTATTTACATTCCAAGTAAATGCAGTAATGGAAATTTGAATACGAGCGGGAATCGCTAGGAAATGGCGGATTAATCAAAAGTGTCACCCTGATGGCCAGTCTCTGTTAGAGGGTCTCTACTACAGACTAGAGAGCCTGTAATAAGAGAGTCGTCAACATAGGCATGTTCTTTTTCTCTGCACTGTGCCCACAGTGCAATAAGTTGAAGTGAAACAGATATACGTTTGTTTCACTTCAACTTATTGCACTATCTGAACTGGTGCAGACAGTGCAGGTAAAAAGAACAAGCCTCCTGACACGAGACTCGAATCGCGCGCTGATTGGCTTGGTGCTATATTTATACAGGGAGGGGCATTTAAAACAGATCATCTGAATAACTCGCTTGTTTTTGACAATAGAAGAAAAAGTGTCAAACAAAAGTTGCTTGGTTTCGAGGGGCACATAATGTCATGTCAATAATTGTTTTTTTGGTGGAGGCGCTAAAAAGATATGAAGGTCACCTCCACTTTTTTTAAATAGAATTATGTAATTTTTTTTGATAACGTGATTCCTCTAATTATTTTGCATATAAAAGTATTAAGGTAGAGATACCAAAAAACCAATAGTTTTCGAGATATTTTACACACTTTATTTTGATACATGTTGACACAAAATGTTAAATAACTCGTAAACTGTTGACTTTTTAATTATCGTACTTTAATACTTTTGTGAACAGAATAATGAGATAAATCAAATGGTGTAAAGAAAACACATAGTTGCGTATTTAAAAAATTATCCATTTTGTATACATATTTTTTTAAAGCAACTATGTATTTTCTTTACACCATTTGATTTATCAATCGTAGAAGTCGTGCGTCCCTCAGCAGGGGAGGAGGGAGAGATGGACAGAGGTCTGCCCCGACAGTACAATTGTGGGCACGTTCGTTAGTATTATCCCGGGTACGAAGTACGAAACACTTGTACAATATAATATAAGTCTTTATTGAAAGTTACAAAGGCGACGCTTGTAGTTGAAAGGGAGGCGGTAAAATGCGTCTTCTTCTTCTTCTTAATTTAGTTGGCCCAGGTTCCGTTATGAAATCGGATTAACGTGGCCAGTCATACCCAAAAAGATATATATGTGAGTCAACGCACAGTCAAAGTCGGCAACACTTTCAAAAATTGCTGATGCAATGACCGCGAGAATGGCGTTGCTCGACCGGTCTCCGGGCGCCTGCGTCTACGGCGTCGTCACGCCGCAATAACGCGCGTCATGAGAGCCGTCGACAAAAGGTGCAAATGAAGAACAATCGAGACGAGCTCAACCGCGGACACGCATCTGTATGATAAAATGCACAGTCAAAATCGGCAACACTTTCAAAAATATACAATGAAGAGCACCCGGACCGAAACGCGTCCGTAACGGTCGGATGGTTCGTCGGAACTGGGTAAAATCATGGTATAAGAATAAGGGTATGCTCACGCGCATGCGACCAATTAAAATTGTCAAAGTGTGACGTCACACAAACAAGCGGTAAATTTAAAACTGCTGTTTCCAAACAACTTATGTTAGCAGCATTTTCGTCAGATATTTTATTTTATTTTGATTTAAAGTTTACAGGAAAAATACGTTTTTAAATAATTTAAGAACTAATGAATATCTTGTAACAAAATGTAACCATAAGTAAACATTACAAACTCAACAAAGATAGAAGAATTTATTATGAAACAAATATATAAAAATGTTAATACCTTTTCCTTCAGAGATATATATATTGTATTTCTTTAGTTGTATTTCTTTAGTTGTATTTCTTTAGCAAAATTATATACAGTTGATTTCGTTACATTTGTACATTTACAAGAAATACAAAATCTTACCTTTTTTAATATTAACGTTTTGATTTCCACATGCAACAAGCCATTTAGATGCAATCGTTAAATCTTTCGGAAACGAAAAATATTTTATGCTGTTTCCGTTAAGCAATTTTGTTTTGCGATAATAATTGCCACAACCTTTTATACAACAGGACATTGTGTACGTATCGTATGTATCACCGAACATTAACCATGTCAAGTATCAGGAGCCACCATGTTCTCGTTTGGGCGATCTGATTGGCCCCGAGAGTGACGTCACGCTTTGACTGCGCAGTGGGTGTCCACGGCGTGAGCATACCCTTATTCTTATACCATGGGTAAAATGCGTCGAGAATAAGGGTCTACGCACAATAGGAGAAATATTAGGAATAGATATTAAATATAAGAATTTTAACCTGTCAGAAAGCGCACATTCCACAGTACACAGTTCTGATAGGTTAATATTCTTATATTTAATATCTGTTCCTAATATTCCTCCTATTGTGCGCAGACCCTAATGTGTAGAGAGATGAACATAAACTGTGTAATGTCTAGATGTGTTACAAAACTAAAAAGTGTAAGAGGTGTGTAGAGTGTACAAGGTGTAACTTAAAAGTACTAGAAATCCCTACACAATCGTAGAAGTCGTGCGCCCCTCAGCAGGGGGGGAGGTGGACAGAGGTCTGCCCCGACAGTACAATCGTAGAAGTCGTGCGCCCCTCAGCAGGGGGGGAGGAGGAGATGGACAGAGGTCTGCCCCGACTTCAAATTTCGTGCATTCTGTTGGACTCAAACTAGAGAACCTCTAGTAAAGAGAATCGCCAACTTGGTCACGTGACCAATTACGTGATTGGCTGGAGGAAATGAGCAGATTTTGGCATTTCGACGCCAATGTTAGTATCAGGAGCCACCATGTTCTCGTTTGGGCGATCTGATTGGCCCCGAGAGTGACGTCACGCTTTGACTGCGCAGTGGGTGTCCACGGCGTGAGCATACCCTTATTCTTATACCATGAGTCTGCCATGTTCTAAATCTCGTCGTATAAGGTTAGTGATCAATTCGATCGTTGATCGACTCTAGTTGATCGTGTTAGTAATTATGTTCTAATATTATTTAAATTTGTTATAAATTTGACGAAATATTGAAGTGTTTATTGGCAAAAATCATAATTTTATTACATAAGAGATGTACATTTAGGTATTGAAGTTTGTGTCTAGAGTCGATCTACGATCACTAACCTTATACGAAGAGATTTAGAGAGTGGCAGACTGACCCCAGCAGTGGCAGTCTTCGTATTCGTGTACCCCGACGGCGTTCCCGGACCCCGGACCATTTAATCGAGACATAAATATTTCATCAATATAAATACCATTTCAAATTTCGTGCATTCTGTTGGACTCAAACGATACCAAGCGCATGCGCAAAAGGTCACAGAGCATGAAGAAAGCAGTGCTACATAGTCGGTATGACAGATTTCCTAACCTGAATAATCGTCAACTTTAACGTTTAATATC